GTGCTCGTGGACAAGTCCGCCTTCTGCGGCGGCAACTCCACCAAGGCCTCCCAGAAGAGAAAGCCTTCAGACTTTGGCCTTGGCGATGCTGGTGCAGGCCACCAGTGGGATCAACGGCGCTGAGACAATGACTCAGAAGGCTTGACCTGCTGCGCACCGAAGACAGCCAAAGATGCCAAAGCTTGAGCGTGGTGAGTGAACGGCAGGCCAACAAGGTGGAGGACACCGTGGATCTCTTCACCTCCGACACGCTTAAGGGTGGAGCCAAGAAGCCAGAGCTTGTCAAGGCTGGAAGAGAGAACGCCGGCAAGCCAAGTCTGTGCTTGATCCGCCGCACATTAAGGTGCTGTGTGGCAACAGCGGCCCTGATGTCGACTGGCTAGTCGACAAGTTCGATCTGGACATGCGAGGACCCAAGTCCTGTGCAGTTCTTCCAATACATTTCCGCTCTGCAGCTCTCCAAGGTCTCTGCTGGCCCGCCTTGGTGGTCACTCAGCGCCGCGCACCCACCGCGGCAAGGAGCGCTTCCCAGGCAGCGCCTCCTCCTCCCACCAGCTCCGGGCATGCACTGGGGCATGCGCTTGGGCATGCGCTGGGGCATGCCGGAAGGAAGGGTACGTCTTGGACTGAAGGGTGAAATCCAATCAGCATGACACCGAGCGTGTGTGGGGGACTCTTGAAGGGGAGAGGGGACATCTGAAGGAAAGCAGATGGACTTGGCTTAGCTGCCTGTCCTCTGCATCCAAGCACTTTCGGAAAGGAAGCTTGAAGGCAGCATTATGCTACTAAGCCTGCTCTGTGCTGCTCATGGCAGGCATGACCATCACCTATGCGCTCATCCAGATGGTGGAGAAGATCTCTGAGCGCAGCGATCTTGCCCGGATCATCAACAAGGCAGTGTTGCTACTGTTTCCACCTCATGGTCTAGTGATGCATTTCAAGAGTTTGCTTCTTACATCCGAAAGGCCAAGGTGAAGACGCTGCTGATGAACAGCGGGGCCGTGACTGGCGTGGTCTACGAGAAGCGAGGCGGGGGGGTTTGTAGGCTGACGTGTAGCAAGATTCAGCACGTTGGCGAGATCCCTGTGAGGCAAGGACTTCACGGAGGAGGGCCCCGTGATTCTTGCCACGGGCGGCTTCGGCGCAGACTTCACGGAGGAGCCACAGAAGGGGTTTTGGAACTGAGGGCAGGGATGAGAGCGCTGGTGCTGACTGACTGCCAGGATTCCCTCTTGGCCAAGTACCGCCCAGACCTCCTGCACCTGCCCACCACCAACGGGGACCACACCACCGGCGCGCGCCCAAGGCTGTGCCGCGCGACGCGCGACGCGATTCCCTCATGCGGAGGGCGTGCGACCCGTGCGACCTGATCAGTGCCAGCTCCCCAGGTGATGGCATCAAGATGGGCGAGGCCATTGGCGCGCGCTCCATCGATCTTGAGTGGGTCCAGGCACTGTGGCGTGCAAGCAGTTGCAGCAAGCAGCAAGCAAGAGGGTTGCAAATTGTGAGGTCCACCCCACCGGCCTGGTGGAGCCTGAGGATCCGGAGGCCAAGATTAAGTGGCTTGGCTTGGCTTGGCACCTTCGCAATAGAGAGGCTCTGTCCCGCATGCTGAGGTTCCTGGCGGCTGAGGCCCTTCGCGGCGTCGGTGGCTTGCATGCATCCAGCAGTTTGCCTCCGCACATGCTTGGGGGAGCTCTGGAACTTGTCACTTGTTGTGCTAGGGGAGATTCTTGCAGCGTTGAGCAGTGCTGGACTTGGCATGCAAGGTGGCCTGGTCATCAACGCTGCTGGTGAGCGATTCTGCAACGAGCTGGGCCGCCGCGACTACGTCACTGGCGGCTGGGCATGATGGCAGCTGGAGCAGCTGAGCCAGTTGATGCCAGTTGCGTGCGTTGAGTTGAGGTGAGATGTGGAAGTCGAAGCCGCCATACCGCCTGATCCTGAACAAGGCTGCCTCGGACGAGATCATGTGGCACTGCAAGCACTACACCGGCCGCGGAGTCATGAAGTTCTACAACACCGGCGAGGAGCTGTGCAAGGACATGGGCGTCGCGCTCTCCACGTTGGAGGCCACTCATCAGCAGCACTTCGAGGCGGCCAAGAAGCAGGAGCGTTTGCTTAGAAGTTGGCTGGTTGGATTTGGTTGGCATATGTTAGGATTTGTCAGCACATGTCTAGCAGTCACTGGAGCTCAAGCTATTCTGGCTTCGCACACTTGCGCCAAGTGAAGTGCTCTTGCATGGCTCATTCTTGGCCACCTTGGCTTGGGTAGCCTCGTCGGGGCTGCATTTGCTGTTGTTGCTTTTTATCTGCGTCTCAGGCAGACTGGAAATGACAATGGCCGTGGGATCCGTTTCGCAAATTTGCTTGTAGGCAAGTTGTCACAAGCGTATCAACATGCTTCTCGCCATTTCTTCGTCAACACGCCCAGAAACCGCGGCATGCATCCTTGTTCCATCCAGAGCCAGTAGCACATGGAAGGCGGGTTGACTCACACAGAAATTTAGGAGCCTTGCTATGCAAAGTTGTTTGCGGTATCTCATGTTGTGTTGTTGAATCCTTGGTGCATGCTGTGGTGGGTTGCAGCACCCAGTGGCAGGAGAAGGATCCAGAGGGCGGCCCCTTCACGGCCTACCCCAGCGGAAAGACCTGGGACGAGCCCAGCGGCAAGACCGGCGTTGGCAAGAAGTTCTTCCACAACATCATTGATGGCTCCAAGGTCAAGAGCGAGCCCTTCTACGCCCCTGAGCTGCAACCTGCTGCATCCCGTTTCGTAATGTTGTAAGTTTCCAGAGTCCCAGAGACCGCGACAGGTAGCCATCATCACTCCTGTGATCCACTACTGCATGGGTGGCTTGGAGATCGACGTGGACTCTGCCTGCGTAGACAAGTCTGGCAAGGCCATCCCAGGCCTTTATGCAGCGGGCGAGGTGGCCGGTGGTGTGCACGGCAACAACCGCCTCGGCGGCAACTCCCTGCTGGACTGCGTGGTCTTCGGCCGTGTGGCCGGCAAGGCCTGTGCCAAGTACATGCTCGGCGACAAGACCAAGAGCATGGA